TTTTGATAAGTATTATTTTATATAATCAGAGCCTTTGTGTTCCTCTTCTATGAATATCCTCCTTTGGTCTCACTGTGTGTGAATGACTAGAGTCCTATATAATGTATCATGTTCTTGGGTTCTTTTTTAAGCAGCTCTCTGCCTCAGTTTCTCCAGCCTCAAACCCAAGCAAGAATTGGATGCATCCATCTCCACTCAGCTGTCCATCCTTAGTCTAATCAGGTGGGGTGGTCACTCCTGTAGATCAAACCTGTCAGCAATCCCACCTCAATTAGATGGACCAGGGATGGAAGACCATCCTGGACACTGTGAAGGTCTTCTACCTCCCTTTCTTCATTTGTCTCCTCATCTTCTCCTCCATCTTACCATCTTGTCATTGTTGATTTTCCTGTTAATTCATTGCCCTGCACTTATTCAGCATGTCCTTATGAGGCTGGGCAGGGAGGTGGTTGAAGGGAAAATGCCATGTGTGATCTCATGTGGCTTGGATTCTAGCAGAGAAAACAGACACTGAAGAGCTAGCAGATAGGTGACCTCTGATCCCAACTCTTGCCATTTCTGTTCTAAGTTATAGTCACAATAATCTATTTAAGATGGAAGGGAGAGGGAAGAAAGGAGAAAAAAATGTATACTAAGCACTCTACCAACAGGGTGGCTCTCAGCAAGATGCATGGGATAAATGGACATGTTAACATGTAACACCCTTGTACAATTAATTGATTTTTTTAAACTACTCTATGCATCTAATTAGCCATGAAGAATAGTTAATTTAAAAAGCAGTCAGGTACCAGTGGCTCATGCTGGTAATCCTAGACACTTGAGAGGCTGACAGCAGGAGGATTGTAGGTCAAGCCGAGACTCAGGTAGAAAAGTTCATGAGACCCTCTCTCAAAAATAACTGTCATAAAACATGGCTGGATTGTTGCTTTCAAGTGTTACTTTCAAACCTCAGTCCTAAAAAATAAGAAATAAAAATTTAAATGTAAAAAAGGGAAAAAAGCAGTGAATAATGGTTGTGTATCTACACCCCTCCACCTGTGTGTGGACCCCCACACTTCTCAGATTGAAGCTGCTGCGGGGCCTTGGGTCAATATCCATCATGAACAGAGCTAACAACAAGCAACTTGTGCACAAGAGAGGGTTTTTTGGTTGTATGTTTTCTGTTGTTTGTTGTGTGTGAGGGTTGCCTTTTCCTTTTGCCTTTTTCTCTCTTCTTTTGCCAGTTTATTCACAAAACCTTTCAAATAAATCAATACTCATCAAACACATTTTTATACCTACATGTAGTCAGTCAACTGGGATAATTAAACAAATATGACTATTCAGGGACTTTTGCTCAGAATTCCTTCATGCTGACACGTGTGTGTGTGTGTGTGTGTGTGTGTGTGTGTGTGTGTGTGTGTGTGTTTGTGTGTGTGTGTTGGCAGTGAGGCTTGAACTCAGGGCCTGGCCTGGGTGTTGTCCCTTAATTTTTTTCAATCAAGGCTAGCACTCTACTATGTGAGCCACAGCTCTAATTCTGCTTTTTTGATATTTAATTAGAAATAACTAATTAACTGGGCACCTGCCCAGGCTAGCTTTGTTCAAACTGTGATCCTCAGATCATAGTAGCTAGGATTATGAGCATGAGCCATGGGATCCCAGCTATATTCTTTCTAAAAGAAATAAAATGATTATCTTGCCCATGTAATTGTAACCCCTCTGTACAGTATGTTCACAAAAAATAAAAATTAAAATTAAAAAAAGAAATAAAATGAGTGAGAGAGAATGAGTGATATCGTCCAAAAAGAAAAATACTTGTTACCTGACTTATGTAAGTATAACCCTTCTGTACATCACCTTTATAGTACAATTAAAAAAAATTAAAAAGGAGCTGGCACCGGTGGCTCACACCCATAATCCTAGCTACTCAGGAAGTTGAGATCTGAGGATCGTGGTTCAAAGCCAGCCCACGCAGGAAAGTGTGTGAGGCTCTTATCTCCAATTAACCAAGTGGCAACCACAAGTGGCGCTGTGGTTCAAGTAGTAGAGTGCTTGCCTTGAACTGAAGAGCACAGGCACAGTGCCCAGGCCTGAAGTTAAAGCCCCATGACTGACAAAAAAAAAAAAAAAAAAAAATAGAGGAAAGAAATAAAATGACAGAAATGCAGCAACAGATTTCTTCTCACCGACGGGCAGCATGCACATCTCGGTATTTGTACTCTACACATTCATAAATAATAGAAGCTATTGTTCTGTCTTACAAACATGCACCAATAGTTTTCTGAAGATTTCATTTTGCAAATTGCCACTCCACATTATGTTTTTGAGTTAGTGACTTTGTTGCTTGTAAACTTTGTTCATTACTCTTCCTACAGATAATATTCTATTGTTTCTAAGAACTCCAAGTTAATGAGTAGCCCCACCAGAATTACCAAATACCCAGAGGAGAGGGTAGAAGATGCTGGATGGGGTGGGATGGGGTGGGGGAGAGGCTCCTTGAATTCTAGAGAGCTTAGTCCAGAAGTTGAAAAGATAGTGACTAGAAGCTTTGATTCAGTGAGATGAAGTTGGAAGACTTCTACAAAGGTTGGTAGCCACAGGAGCAGAGGTGTCAAGCCTTTGTGCTGCAGTCAGATGGTGCCCAGTCTCTTCCAGCTCACATTCGCTGGCCTTTAGGCTGCTGGCCTACCTTCTCTGAGTCTGCACTGTCTATGAAATTGTAGCGTTACTTCTCTCATAGGGTTGTGGTGTGCACAGGTACAAAAAAAGCCTCAGGTAAGTGTCCTCCCCAGTTGATACTATGCTGTGGATTCTGGTGTATAGACACCATGTGTGGACACAGCAACGTGGTGCCCAATGTATTTTCTATGTGGCTACTACATTCATCTCATAGCCCTATGTCATCTCAGATACCTACCAGCTGGATGTGTAGCAGAGTGTGAAAGTGAAGGGTAAAGCTGTGAGAACCAAGTTCTTGCTTTCAGTGTTCACATTCCAGCTCAACCAGTTGCTGGCTGCAGGAAAGTGTCCACATTTTATATGGAGAACAAAGTGAGGAATTCTCCCTTTGGGGGGTATTGAAAATTTAATGAGCAAGTGGCACTGTGGCTCAAGTGGTAGAATGCTAGCCTTGAGCTGAAGAGCTGAGGGACAGTGCCCAGGCCCAGAGTTCAAGCCCCATGACCAACAAAGAGAGAGAGAGAGAGAGAGAATTCAATGAGTTAATTCCTGTGCCTGGAACATAGTGTGTGCTCAGTAATGACAATGATATTTTAATATATCAATAACTACTCATCACAGCATTTGATTCTGAGACTACCAGCTTATGAGGCCCTGGTAACACAAAGGTTCCTGCCACCTAGGTATTCCTAGTCCCTAGGAAGAAAAAGGCCCAGGAACATGAAGTCAATGACTGATCAGCATAGGGCATGAGCTAGTCTAGAGCAGAGATGGGAAAGAGGGAGAAGTCAGGAGACTCTGAGGACCAAGACTGTCCAGAATAATCAGGGAAGTTGGAGGTTTGAGAAAATATTTAGATATTATTTTTTAAAGTCTAGGTACAAAAGTTTCCAGGTCCATTGCTCACTCTAATGATTGGCCTTTATTTTCTCTTTGCTAAATAAACTCTTTATACCTGTGTATTTTAAAAAATGTCTGAGTGCCCCTGCTTTAAGATGAAGTTCAGTACCCATTAAAATAGCTGGTGGGCACTGGTGGCTCAGGTCTGTAATCCTAGCTACTCCTGAAGCTGAGGATGGCTATTTGGAAGCAGGCAACTCCAAGAGACTCTGATCTGCAATTAATCAGCACAAAGACCGAAGTGGAAGCGTGACTCAAGTGGCAGAGTGCCAGCGTTAAGCAGAAAAAGCTAAAAAAGTGCTGAGTTCAAACCTTTGTACTGGCACACACACACACACACACACACAGCAGACACTGCGCCTCACACTTCTCTGCATCTGCATGCATCACACGTATTAACTAGGAGGTACATAGATTCTACCTCCATCTTACATTTGGCTAATTGGACACAGATCATCTGGTTTTGCACAAACCAGGTGGGAAGTCAGAGTTAGCTGCGGATGTGCAGAGTTAGCTGCTGCCCTGTAGGAGCTCGCGTGACATTCTGTGACCCACTCAGGGAGCTACACGGGGGTCATCCACGACCTTGACCGAGGCCCGCCGCCTCGGTTGCGGGGCTGGTTCTCCATCCTGCAGGTTGGCGTGTTTGGCGGCGGTTGGCTGGAGTCAGCCAGGTGCGACTCTGGAAAGCTGTGCCCCAGGGCGGGGGGGGGGGGGGGGGGGCACAGGGAAGGGAATGGCTTCCTGACACCGTGGGTTTTCAAGTCAGGAACAGCAGGCTTAGGGGGTGAGGTCGCGGTTGCCCGGGCCCGCCCTGCCCCTCCCGCGGGGCGCGGGGGCGCTGCGCCCGCGGCGGGGTCGCGCCCTCTTGGTACCGCATCCCTGCGGGACTGGCCGCCGGTGCGGCGCTGTCGGTGGCCGCAGATCCAGCGGGGGGGGGGGGGGGGGGGGTCGGGTCCAGGTGGGTGAGGGGCAGCGGCGAGGGTGGGGGTGGCCGGGCTCGGTCTCGCTGGGAAGGGCGCTGGACTCATGGCAGGCTGACCTGTGCGCTTGCCCATCCAGGATGGGAGCGCAGGGAGAGGTTTGGGGGCGAGCTGGGGGTTCCCAGCCGTACCGCTGAGTTCCGACCTCGTCGAAGGAGGGGTTCGAACCTCGTACGGAGTTGGGAATGAGCAGGGGTGGGGGCGTCTGTTAGTCTATTAGCTCCCCCTAGGTACTAGAATGAGGGGTGCGGAGAGGATCGGGGCGCAGAGCTGGAGTAGCGGGGAGGGAGGGACTCCGGGGTCCGGGAGCGGCTGGATGTGGGACGCGGGGTTTCTGGGTTTCGCGGGATCCAGGGGCGGGGGGGGCGGGGAAGAGGGGCGCCGGGGGCGGGCGGCGGGGCGGGGCGGCGCCGGCGAGGGGGGTGGTCCCCGCGCCGCCGACTGCGTTCCGGGACACACAGGCGGCGGCGGCCGGCGCGCGGCGGAGCAGACATGCCACGGCCCGGGGGTCCCCTGCTATGTCTGCTGCTGGCGGTGGCGGTCCCCACCGCCCCCGCGCCCGCCTCCACCACCCCTCCGGCGGCAACTTCGGCTCCGCTGGAGTCGGGCCCGGCTCTCAGCTACCCGCAGGAGGAGGCCACTCTCAACGAGATGTTCCGCGAGGTCGAGGAACTGATGGAGGACACGCAGCACAAACTGCGCAGCGCGGTGGAGGAGGTGAGTGCGCCCTGATCGCGGGGGGCATCGGGAAGAGTAAAGCGGGGGGTCGAGGAGCAGGCCTGGGGGAAAGCAGGGGTTCCAGTGCACTGGCCCTCAGGGGCCTGGCGCGGCGCCCAGCACCTGGGAAGGGCGCGGCCCTAGAGAGACCTGAGCGCAACGTCGGGCAAGCCTTCCCCCCCCCCCCCCCCCCCCCGTCCTCCAACCCCCTTGCTGGTTCTTCCTCTGGGCCCAAAGGTCTGGATCGTAGCTTGTCCTCAAAAAGTCTTGGCTGGACCCTCCCTGGGTAGCTGGGTTCACCATCTGCCTGCCGGCTGCCCGGCATCAAGTCTCCCTTGCCTTAGAGCAGACACTTGGCTATATCCCCCATTGGAAACTGCTTGCTAGACCCCTGGTGTTCCCCGCGCTGTAGTTTTTCCTAAAGGGGAGGCAGCTTCAGGCCGCTCCCAGGTGCTAGCACCTCCCTTAAGCATTGAGCCTGTTCCATCTTCCCAAGATACAGGATGTGCTGTGGAGACAAAGAGACAGAGTCCCGAGCTTTGCTGGCCGACCATCTGAGCTGTCTTTGTTTTGTTTTGTTGAAAGGTATAGCAGCTCAGAAAAAGGAAGTTGGGATTCCTAAATCACAGCTACATAAATCATCAGAAGGTAGTTGATGAGCCTGAGAGGCAACCCTGACCCCACCCAGCAGGACTCAGGCACTCCTCTGTTGCTTGCTAGCAAGGCAAACTGGCAAATCATTCAGCATCCTGATCTTTAGCTTCCTGGAAGGAATTCCATGCTATTATGCGCACCTGACAAACAATAGGTAGCTGTGTACCTGGTACTCTGGTACTTTTGAAAGGTTTGTCTGGCTTCTTCCCTCTTTCACCAACCAACTCCAGTTGTCTCCTCCTCAGCCTTGTGTTACCCTTCCATCCTCCAAGAGTCAGGCTGGTGGAGTTGTTAGTGAAGAGCACACTGGATTGGGAGGCAGCAACATGGGCAGCTACACCTGAATATCCACTGGATAGGCCTAGATCCCAATTCCACTGCTGTCAGTTTCCTGAGATGACAAAATCATGGTGACTGGGAATATACCTAAAGGATGAAGAGAATCAGGTCTCCTGACGCTGTGAGCTTCAAAAGAAAATGATCTTCCTGGTGATCCTTCTGGTTCTAGGGCAGGTCATCTTGCTTTCCTAATCTGGGTTCTAGAACTTTTCCTGCAGCACACAGATTCCCAGTAAGGCTGACGAGGTCACCCTGTGCTTTTCTTTAGTGAGATAATGCCCACTCCCATTCAGAAAGTTTGCAGCATGATTCTGTGATAGTAGCTTCTGATGAAGTCTGGGTCTCTTCAGCATATTCAATTTGTGTATGTGTGTGTGTGTGTGTGTGTGTGTGTGTGTGTGTGTTTATGGGCAGGCAGGGGGGTGGGTGGGGGGGGGGAGGTGTTCAGTGAGATCTTGGTGTCCATGGCTTCTCTGTGGGAGGTATCCATTCCATAGGGAATTTGCCAGGGTTCTATCCTCTTCCTTTCCGGTTGCACCTCTGCTGGACTTATGCATAGCTTTATGACTTTTAACTATCACTGTGTTCTAATTAATAGTCATTTACCAAGGAGTGTCCTCTTGGACTGTAAGGACAGGATGAGAGAGATTGAACCCTTCCATAAAAGGAGAATGGGTGGGGAGGGGATTCCTTAATCTAGTCCCAAGTCTGCCATTTGCAAGTGATAGAATGCAGGGCCCAAAATGGAGAAAATGTCCTCATTTCAGGAAAAGGAAGAATTAGAAGAGCATGTGAGTAAAGCAAGTTATCCTATAATGTAGGAGTAAAACAGATGTAACACAAGTGCCTTCCTCTGGAGACACTTCCCACTACACAGTAAATATCTTTATTATTGTAACAGTAGTAATACCACTAGCATCTGATGAATCCTCAATGTCCTGTTTTAAAGTATCTCAAAGTACTAAAATTAATTTTTGAATATAAAAATACCTTCTAAGAATATCTTAAAAATAGAGTAGATGTAGTCAGTAGTGTTTTGGTTTTTTGTTAAAGAGGCATCCAGTTCCATGGGTGTTGGCACATGACTATAGTCCCAGCACTTAGGAAGACCTTGCCCTGCACACCGCCCCCCCCCCAAAAAAAATCAAGAAGCTTCCAGAAAGACCCTTAAGTCTCATAAGCATAGGATAGTTGCTATTCAGTTGTTGTCCAAGGGAATTTAAGAAAGAATAAAAAAGGCCTGGAGCAGATGCATTAATTGTTTACATAGCTGCATCATGAGTCTGCTTTCAAGTAACTTCCTGGTGTTTTATTTATTCCAGCTGCCTCAAGCTGTTGATGTCTCTTAAGGGAAAAGACAAAGTAGTTTTACTTGTAGGATTATTAGGAAAAGCAAGTCTTCCAATGGCTTCCATCTGAGACACTCCTATTTTCTGGCTTTATTGTGCTATATATTATTAATTAATGCATGTGGAGGAGGCGGGACCCACAGCCTCTTTCTCACCTCCACTCCCTCATCTGTAGCTGGTACATTTTAGCATGTTCTTAGGCCTAGGGGAATGGTTATCAAACCCGCACTTATATCTGTCCAGTTTTTCCTACTGCACTCCCTTTAACAGACACAGATTTAACCAACCCTAAATACCACTTTAAACAACACACACATTCTTCTTCTATGAAATAACTATGGCTTCAGGCTTAAGTTTCTCTTGCTAGGGGCTGTAGTGGTTGTGGTTGAACTTTCCATTGTAAACTGTACTTTTAGCTCATAGTGCCACTGAAAAACCTGGAGCTCATTCTGTTCAAACAACCACTGTGTAGAATGGAGAGGCTTTGCAGACTGAGCCCCCAGCAAACTGGAGGATATGGGGTGTTTGTCTGTTATTTGAAAGCCAGACTGTACAGTAGCATTCTGACAGGAATTTTTAAAATATTGAATTTTTCCCCCCTATTTTGGCAGAGATCTGCTGGGCTATCTTCTGTCTCCTCTTTTTTTTTTTTTTTAACTGCTAAATATATAAGGGTCTCATGCTTGAAAAGATAAGTCATTTCATGTCAAGCTTTTCTTCTATCCCTTTCTTTCTTCTCCATTTTGGGAAGATGGAGACTCTTAAGACAAGTGCTGTCTACTGCCTGTCCCCACCTTTCTGGCAATCTATCTTCTTCCAGAACTGCTTTCCTGCAGGGCAATAGTATGCAAGCAGCTACATGTTCCATATCAACCATTTGACAAGTACTGTGCTATCACTTATATTTCCTGATCTATAATTCTTATATCCACTCAACAAAGCCTCATCCACGTTTTACAAATGGCAAGCTGAGATTTAGAGGGCTTCAGTATCATGCCCGTGGGTACTTTGGAGCAGAGCCAGAACTTCTCTGAGCCCAGAACCATTGTGCCCTCCTATGATCATGCTGGAGGCAACTGCTTATGTAATTCCTCTGTGTGCTAGACTTGTTTGGAGCCTTTGCTGCCTAGAAGGTCTCTCCCTAAATATAGCTCCCCTCTCCTATACCAATGTAAGCCAGTGCCCTGACTCTTTTCTCTTGCTTCCCTGCTCCCTAAATTGTTTATGAACTAGTCCAAAACATGTAAGTCCCTGTTTCCCATAGCAGGCTTCTTACCTGGGAGCCGGTGGAGAGAAAGGAAATCACCAGAATTAGCTGAGAAAATTGGTATTTGGAGTACCATCAACAGGAATTACAATTTGGCAAGTCAGGGAAGAAATTCAAGCAAATATTTTTTTAATTATGTGCACGACTTTGAAGTCTCCATTTGGTTGAGAAGCAGGTGAACATCTCTGCTTTGGGGCTGCCCCTGGATTTGCCTGTTGATCCCTCTGTACTCTTTCAGCTACATTTCCTCATGCTCCCAATGAGGACCCTCTGTTCATTGAGGAGGAGCTCCTCTATTACTTAAGGGAGTAAAAGACACATGAAAATACCTTTTGAGGATTCATTTTAAGGAATAAAATAAGGAGTTTTAGATGGCAGTATTGGAAAACTGCCAGTCATCAACAAGAATTCACTGTGTTCCTCATTTGAAATTGCTAGAGAGAGTATCTGATTTGCTCGACTATTCTATAATGTGGTCTGCCTTCAGATCCATTCAACTATGAATGGGTCATATTGTCACCTTCCCTCTTGGCAGGGCTAAGGTGGGGTGATGAATCTGGAAGGGGAAGTTGGGCACTGATGTATGTTGACTGGGAGGTCTGCTATAGATATCATAGAAACTCATGAGACTGGAAGATTTGAGGACATGACCTCAGAAATCTGAAACCAGAGAAGGATAGACAGTTCAAGGAGAGTCAGATAAGGCATGAATGCTGGGGTCTGCTGGTGTTCTAGAAGGGTCCCCAGGCATGGTGGGAAAGGAGACATCTTGTGGCCATATCTGCACAGAGATACAGCACTAGCTTAGTTTGGGTCCCTGCCCTCTGGACACCATTACCATCAGACCCTGTAACAAAGATGTGGGAACAAATTGTTATTATTCCCACTATCAGGAAGTGGGAACATGATGTAGAAAGGGAAGTAAAAGTTAGTCCACCTGCATGCTACTGCTATAAATGGGTTATTTCTATACAAAGGTTACTGCTTTGGGCAATGGGCAATTCCAGTTGGGACCATCAGAGAGAGATTGTAGTCTCTAATTGTCTTGAAAGGGGAGAAAAAGCTGGAGTTCCAATCCCTGGAACCTGTTTCTTACTGGCGCTTAGGAAAAATGAGCAGATGTATGGGCCAGAGAAGGCCTTGGAGAGACACAGAGGTGATATTGCTGGCATGTATGGGAACGGGTTGCAGGGAATCTCCAGATTAGGGCTCTAGGAGATGGGCAAGCCATCAGTGGCATTTGTATAAATGAAGACGTCATGAAGCATGTTTAAATTCAGCTCGACCTTCTTGGGAATCCATCCAGAGCCTTGGTTTCCCTATTTGTAAAATGGAGGCATCAACACCCAGCTCCTGTGGGAGGCTGATATAAGGGTGGTAATGTATATGAAACATTTGATATGAGGTCTTGTCCTAATGTGTACTCAGTGGCACCATCTTTGTAGTTGTAGATGATGCAAAAAAGGTGGTGCTTTTTCCGTAATGGACTCTCAGTAACTAAACAATTTTGCTCATTAACTTCCTTGACTTAACAGATGGAGGCAGAAGAAGCTGCTGCTAAAACGTCATCAGAAGTCAACCTGGCAAGCTTACCCACCAACTATCACAATGAGAGCAACATAGATACCAAGGTTGGGAATAATACCGTCCATGTGCATCAAGAAGTTCACAAGGTAAGCAAGGTTCTGGCCTGCACTTCCCTTCTCCCACAGACAATTCTCTACAGACAACTCGGGACTTATTTACATGTTTCATCCACAAGCCACAAATTCAAACGTGAATGATAAACTATATTAAGAACCAAAAGGAATGAGGATACTATTTGAAAGAGAAAGCTGTGTATCAGGAACCTCAATTGCTTTTGTATTTTGTATTTACCTCTAGGCTTCCTAACATTTCAGGGAAAATGTATGTCAGGTTTCTGTGAGTATCTCAGGAGGGGTTGAAATAGACACCAGTTATGGTGAAAGGCTCCTCAATATTTCCTTAGAAACAACTCGTGTGTGTACCCCACTTTCATAAAGGAAGCCTTCTATTGCCACAAGATTTCACGTTTATTCACTTGTTGATTGTTCGTTTAAAATTCTATAGCAGTATTTTTTCCAGCCTCTCACCTGTCTCAATGCCTCTTAGTCTCAGATAGTGTATAAGGTTTATTCCTAAATGGCTTGATGAAGAAATCTAGAGTTAACAGAGCACTACTCTACCCTGGCTGTGAGATATTTCAAGTGTGTTTTGGCAGAACATAGAACACTAAGTCAGCCCATGAGGAGAATCACAAATATTCAGGGTCATTGCTGGAGGTCTTAGTGTTGACATGCTGTTGTGACTGTTATTCTTAACTCTTATAAGCAAGACTTCAACAGCTCCCATCAAAGGGCCTTGTTTGTGCAAATGCCCAGGTTATTACATGATTGAAACAATAGTGTTTCTATGCCCCAGAGCTTAAGGGGAGCAATTTTCTGGACCACTTTACAGCTGGTACTTTACAGCTACTGTAAAGTAGCTGTTGTGTGGCTTTTCTCCCACTGTAAAGGAATAGACCCAACTGGATGGGAAAGCTATGGAGTGAATCCCAAGTAAATGAGCGAGTTCCCCAGCTGAACAGATCCCTGGATATTGCTTATGTGAGGACTGGGGCAGATTATTTTATTCTTGACAAAAACAATATGAGGTCATCCTTTCTGACAGTGGTTAGCCAACAGATTCTTCTGCATCTACATGTTGGGATATCTGAGTGGTGTGAGTTCTACCACACCACTGAGTGATTTTGAAAAATGGTTTCAATTTCCTGACCCTTCCTAAAGACAGTATTGATGGTAATATCTACATTCAATATGGCCAGGGCCAAAGAGCCTAAACCATATGAAAACTCTCTGTCAGCTATTAAGTGCTTTTGCAAGAGAAAGTTGTTCCTACTATTGCCACTGTTAAATTATAACAAACTGGTTATCAGCCATAGCTCAGTAGTTCTCCAGTGGATTATGGGCAGTGCTATTCTTTGGCAGTGTTCCATGAAAGAGGGACTCAAAAGTGGCCAAGTGTATTTAGACACTATTTTATATATAATATGAAAAAGCTTACAACTCACACATGCAAGACTGTAGAATTGAACACAACGATGACAGAAATTTAACAAAATGATGTAAAAAGTTCACCTGGAGAAATAAACCATTATTTTTCGAGGAGAGGAATTTCTTTTCTTTTTCTTTCTTAGGGCTGGTACAGGAGCTTGAACTCAGGGCATGCCTACCACTGTCTCTTGGCTTTTTTGCTTAAAGCTGGCTCACTGTACCACTTGAATCACACCACCACTTCTGGTTTTTTGTTTTTGTTTTTTTTGTTTGTTTTTGTTTTTTGGTGTTTAATTGGAGATGAGATTCTTATGGACTTTCCAACCCTGGCTGGCTTTGAACCATTATCCTCCGATCTCAGTCTCCTGGGTAGCTAGGATTACATGTGTGAGCCACTGGTGCCCAGCTAGGACAATAATTTTTTTAGTTAAAAAAAAAGTTAAAAGCATTTGTATGAAGACATGGTCCTTGTCAGGATGTAAATTTGATCCCTTACTGAAAATTAGGCTGAATTTCCAGTTCAGAGTCTTACATTAAAGCTGGGAAGGATCTCATAGATGATATAAAAATAAGAAATCAGAAAAGAGAAATGACTTGTTTTAGGTGCCATACTAGATGCTTGTTGGCAACAGAGCCAGGGCTTAGTGAACAGAATCTCCTACTTCCTCGTCCACACTCATTATTAGACGTGGCCTTAAGAAAGGCAGGGGTAGCCTGGTTCCATACCACACTCAGCCTGAGGTTCCTCTGCCTAGTTTAGATCAGACAGACAACAGGCAGGAGCATGGGACAGGGCTCCTTTTGGCAGTCTTTAGAATCACGAGGCTTCTGTGGCCAGGACCCATCTGCCTCTCATGAAGACATTCCACTCGACACCCAGACCTGAAATTTGTCAGAACAAAAGCTGACACTGAGTGTCAAGTGATGAGCCCTGAGAATAGCAAAAATAGCTCTGTTGTTGAGAACTTGCTAAGGTATCAAGGCAGCGCACTGAGTGCTGTCCTGTCACCTCGTTTCTTCCTCGTGACCACCCAATGAGGCAGTCGGTGTTAACACCATCTGGCACTACACCAAGGGAAGCTGTGTATCCCCCTGAACTGGTGGAACTCAGAGGAAGGGGGTGGACAGCCTGGCTCGTATGCTCTTGCTTCAGGAAATGAAAACTAAACCAGAAAAATCTTGTGGTATTTTCTCAGAGTTCCAGAGCTCCTTCATTTTACACTTTCTGTCTCTGTTCTACTCCAGATAACCAACAACCAGACTGGACAGATGGTCTTTTCAGAGACAGTCATTACATCCATGGGGGATGAAGAAGGCAAAAGAAACCATGTAAGTTGACATCTCCAGGCTCATCAGCCTTGTGTAACCTGTCTTGGAGGATGGGGGTGGGGAAGGGAGCAGACTCCATATACCTTCTTGTTTCTGCCCACATTCCTCATTCCTCCATTCCTGACCACTTGCTCAGTCTGGTAGCAGGATATGTTTCTAGGCACCTGGCATCAGAAGCCACAGAGACATTAAACCCATGTATCTTTGCATCTTGCTTTGAGAGATCAAACAAGTACCAGGTAGATAGATTGGGGCTCTGGTAGCAGAGCTGATGGTATATCAGCTAATGTAATCCCAAAGGCTCTGGGATGGCCCTCACCTTGTATCATCCCAAACCTGACCAGGTGGTTTGAGAGCAAGGGTACTTTAAATGGAATCCAAGTGCCTAAAGAAGAAAAGGCTGCCTGTTGGTCCAAGCACTGAGCTTTGGTCCCAGTGACTCCTGTTGCTGGTTGCCTGGGGATTTTATAGGATTATAAAATCTCAAAGTTGGCAGGAAAAAAAAATAAGACCAAGGATTTGAGAATCACTCTTTCAGAGTCACTGGTCTAGTCTTTCCTCTTCAGGTTTAGAAAAAAAAGTAACTCACACCTATAATCCTAGCAATTCAGGAGATTATGATCTGGAGGATCATAGTTTGAGGCCAGTGTGGGCAGAAAAGTTCACTAGATTCCATCTCCAAAAAAAAAAACCACAAAAAAACCCAGCATAAAGTGGGATGGAAACATGGCTCAAGTGGAAGAGTGACAACCTAGCAAATGGGAGGCCTGAATTTCAAATCCTAGTTAATATATGAACACCCTGGGTCTTTGTCACCTTTCCTGGTATGCATGGCCTCCTATGCCCACGTGAATTCCTGTTTTGGGTCTCAGCTGGGAAATCTTCATATGCCCACCGTCTCTTGTTCATGCACCTGGTGACAGGTACATGAGAGCATGGTATCCTTGTGCAGCACATGATCAGATATCCAGTATGTAATAGACCCAGAGTGCAGAAGCCTGGCAGGGCAACAGGTCCTCTAGACTTAGAAAGACAGAGATATGTCACGTTTTCTTGAGTTCTGCTCAGATCCTGGGGATGTGAGCTCACTGACGTTTTCTGTGAGCTAGAAGGGAAACCTGAAGATCGGACACTTGACTGATGTCTGGTGCTTTTGTAAAAAAAAACAAACTGATTTTTATTTACTTTTTGTTTATGTAGTACTGAGGAATCAAACCCAGGGCCTCATGCATGCTAGGTAAGCACTCTACCACAAAGCCACATTCCTAGCCTCCATGTCTGGCTTTTTGACAACAGACTCGAGTCTTTTCAAGCTGCCCATGGGCAGGATGTCATTTGGCAGAGAAGGTGTGTCACAGCAGCCCATGTTAAAGTGATCCATCAATGGCCAGGGAGGTTAGATCTAGGGTATACAACATTCTCTGTCCAATCACACTTTTGCCTTGGGCTCTTGGTACCCAACACTGAACCAGGTCTCAAGCACCATCTTCACAAAGACACAGAACTTCTTTATCCAGACAGGAAGCAATGAAAAGGGTCATGGGTTGTCACCACTGTCCCTTTCCATAGTTTTGCAATTTAATCATGTTGACAGCTGGCTCTGAACTACACTTTGCAGGACAGAAACCATCTTTTAACAGGAAAAGGGAGATTTAGCACTCTACCAGCAGAATCATGTACTGTTCAAGACCTTCCGATACCATAAACAGGGGCTAAGTCATGAGGATTTAAAATTCCCAGATGGATCCATTTAAAAGTAATCACCAAGCACCTCATGTTTGCCTTTCTTTAAATGCTAGTATGTGTGTTAATAGGTATGGTAACTTGAGGCGGCACATGGAAAGTTACAGACAGTAACACTATCTGCCTGTCTAGAAACGGCAGTCTGTGCAAGGCACTGGTCTGTTTTTACACTCAAGTGTGAGGGGGAGAGGAGCCCCATCGCTTGTTATTTCACCTGAGTGCACAGGGTGACGCTGATGTGGACTGAAGTCTTAGAGGGAGCATTTGTGCTGAGCTTCGCTGGGCCCCTTCACGGGCCAGCGGGTGGCTGACCTATTGTGATACCTTTGTGCAGGGATTAGGGGAAAGTGGCACGTTGGAAGCTAGAGAGTGAGCAAGCCATTATGCATGGATAGGAAGCTTTATTTATAGAAGAGTCCAGCTCAATGAGCCAAGGTGCCCTTTTGAATGGACAGGACTTTTCTATCCTGTGTTCCCTTTGATTAAAATCCAGCTTCTAGTGACACAGCTTAGCAGGTCCTACATTTGTTGTCTTTTTGGTTTTACCTTTGAAGGTAATATAACTGAGTGAGTTTATTTTTGCACCTTAACACCTCTAGTTTGTAGCTATAGGTTCACTCAGTGCAGTCTCTTTCTCCCTCTCTCTTCTTTCTCTCCTCTCTCACTTCTCTCTCCTCTCTCTCCCTCTCCCCTCCCCCTGCCTTCATTCCCCCTCTCCCTCCCCCACCCCCTGCCCCTGTACTGGGGCTGAACTTAGGGGTCTGGGCACTGTCCCTTAGCTTTTTCTGCTGAAGGCTGGCATTCTTCCACTTGAGTCAAAGCTCCATTTCTGGCTTTTTGATGGTTAATTGGAGACAAGAGTCTCACAGACCTTACTTCCAGGCTTCAAGCTGTGATTTTTCAGATCTCAGCCTCCTGAGTAGCTAGAATTACAGGCATAAGCCACAGGTGCCTCGCTAGTCTACATTTTTTAAGCCACTGGGGGACATAGTTTACTACCAGAAACATCCAGACCATAGATATTTGAGTGACTTCCTTGTTCCAGAGTGTCTAGTGCTAACAGTGCCTTTTAGGCTGTAGATAGTGGACTGAAGGCGGTGCCCATGCATTGCGTTCCCTGCTGTAATGATATTTGTGTTGGAAGCTGAGAGGACAAGGATGATAACTCCTGTGACACAACTCTTGGGAGATGTGTATTTGACCTCTCCCCTCCCTCCCTTGCTCTCCCTCCTTTCCTCTCCCTCTCCCTCTCCCTCTCCCTCTGTCTCTGTCTCTGTCTCTCTGTCTCTCTGTCTCTCTCTCTCTCTCTCTCTCTCTCTCTCTCTCTCTCCCTCTCTCCCTCCACCCCTCTTTTTCTCAGAGGTGGGAGGGGGTTGTGGTGGTGTTGGTAGTTGTGGTGGTGGTGATAGTTGTGGTGGTGAGTGTTTACACAGAGGAAGATGAATCAAGGATCTGCTCAGGCCTTGGTTTTTCCCTGCCCTCAGCTTGGGTCATATATCACAGAGGAAAGACAGGTGTGGTCGGAAGCTTCCCTTCCCTTAATACTGCTGCTGCTGCCATCAGGATAATGGTAGGTCAGAGAGTACCTCACATAACCTCCATCTCCTGGAGGTCATTTAAACAGTTGTTCTAGGGGAAGACAGAGGCCTCCTTGAGAGACAGACAGTTCCTGGGAGGATCTACCTCCAGCAGTCCTGTCAGGTTGGCTAAGTCCAGGGAAATGCAGCTCTTCCCTCAGTCAGTCTTGAGATAGAATGGAGAAGTTTGAGCAAGGCATGATAAGGCAGACCTGAGTTCAAGACCTGACATAATCCTAACAGACTTTTCCCTTAGGGTAAAGTGAGTTTGTCTACCAAATGGAGCTGATAAGCTCCCATTCAGAAGGCTCAGTGAGAATCCGCAAGGGCAAGGTTTACAAAAGCTCCTTTGTATGGAGATCATTAATATTGAAAAGTAATTAAAACCAGGCTGCAATTGGCTTCTGCTATAGTTCCTAGCAACGTACGCAAAAAGGGAATTGTGTTGGAAGCTTGCACTGTGTACAGGGCCCACACTGTCCCTCTCCCCTGGTCCTGTTGCCCTGGGTTTCATTCCCTTCTGTGTCTCTGCCTCCACCTCTGAGTAGATGCCTGGCCTGGAGTTACATGCTCCTAACCACTGGATTGACTCATCTAGTTGGGGGGGGGGGCGGGGGGCGGTGGTCACATGTCTGGCTGGGGCAGTATTGGGAATGCAAACGAAAGGAAGGCCGGAAGGGCAAGTCAACATGCATGACAAGAGGAGTGGCTGCTGGTCATCAGATACTGACAGGTTTGAGGCTGAGGTGCTAGGTGGCTGGGTACATGGGGGTTCTGTAGAAGAAAACACACCTGCTGTGTAAAGGATGATGGCTCAGTCTGTGTGAATTTCCAGTTCCACGGTGTTCCCCCGCATCACATAAACAACGTGGTACATTTATGTTTCTAGATTCATGTTTTGAGTTGTCTTTAAACAAATATAAAGCCTTCATGCCTTAACCTAATAGAAAATAAATGATAGAGGAAGTTGAAGAACTACTATTCTGAGACTTGAGTAAGTAAGCTCCCACCAAATATAGATGAGGTGAATGGGCACTGTATAGGTGGGGGCATTTCTTTTTGAACTATAACCTGGGATATTATGTCATTCATCATTCAAAAAGGTATTTATTAGCCAGGTGCTGGTGGCTCGTGATTATAACACTAGCTACTTAGGGGACTTGAGATTAAGGATCAGAGTTTGAAGCCAGCCAGGGAGGGAAAGTCCATGAGACTCATAGCCCCAATTAACCACCAAAAAGCTGGAATTAGAGGTGTGGGCTCGAGTGGTAGAGCACCACTGTGAATAAAAAATGCTATGAGATTGTGAGGGCCTGAGTTCAAGACTCAGTAACAGCACACAAATAAATAATTTATTAAATATAAGTAATTCTACAGCCTATGTCAGTGAGGCTCCTACGGAGTTTGTATCAGCTGGTATAAAAGAATAAAAGGACGTCTTCAACAGAAGCTGGATCAGGAAAAGCTCTGTGAGCCAGCCAAGGAGTGAGATACCCATGCTGAGGTAGGGCTTGTCCTGTGTCTGCAGGGCCTCCCCAAGCAAGCCTACGCTTCATAAGATAACGAGTTGCCAGGCAGTCTCGGGGAAGGGGGTGGTAAATAGGGGCATGTGGTTAAGATGGCAGAGACAGGCTTGGGCTTTGCCTAGTCCTGTTAAAGCTTGAGGCCTGAGTTTCCTTT